ATAACAAAAATCGATAATAATCGATTTCTATCGATTTCCGATATCCATCGGCGGATTAAATCGATTTACTACGTCTGGATTTACAGCACATTTGTACACAGCACATTTGTACAGCTGTGAAAGGTTTGAACCCAGGAGTCATTTCAAAAGGCTGAGTTTGATCGTCCAGGTGAACGTAGTCCTGAATAGGACTGTTGTTGTTGACAGTGACTGACGTTTCGACAGCCTGTGCGGTAGTCATCTTCAGAGTCAAAGTGAGTTGTATCACGTCAGTGGATGGTGTTGTACTCTGGTTATTGATCTGATTGGTCAATTATGTCGCGATGTTATTGGTCGTCTGTCAGTTAAGCCGTGATGTTATTGGCTATGAAGACTCTTAATCAGTGATTGGTGCTTTTGGAACTAACTACGAGAGAACAACTGGAGAACTGACAATTTGACTAACAATAGACGACTGTTTAACTTTGACAATAGACGGATCGAAAAGCACCAATCACTGATTACGAGTCTTCATAGCCAATAACATCACGGTTGATGATTGAACGGAGAGCGCGTTTGTATGTTGAACACATAATAGATTGTTTACTATCCAATCAGGGTTAAAAGAGCCCTCTTTTTCTGAATCGTCTTGTAGTTTTTGCGACAGGTATTTCATAGGTTTGTCGATAGACAGAGAATTACAATTTCGCAAAGAAATACAACATGTTCTAGATGATTGAGAAACAACATTCCTTGACTTTTTTAAAAGTGGGAACTCAATGTCTTAATCGCTTATTTTTTAAAAAAGACAAAAGCTAAACGGCTAATTCTTAATTGCATTTTTTTTACACAACGCCGCGGCGTGTTTGTCCAAAGACAACTATGGCTGAGAAATAATTCTCTTATGGTGGTCCGTTTTCCAACAAACTAAAGCTACAACGGAGTGCATTTCAAAAAGTATGGTGTGAGGAATTGACGGAGAAGCAGATTATGAAACCCACGTTGATCAGCAGAACTGCCATTATTACGCAATATCTACGATTATCCTGATGCCTTATTGGAAATTAAATGAACAATTTGTTCAAGCGAAGATTACAACAAAATATGTTAATTGTATCATCTGAAAGTTACAGAGACAGTTTGGTAGACTACACGTTAAGTGATGATGTAACCATTAGCCATTACTTTATTATTATTATTTCTTGTCTACAATGATATACTCTTTCAGGTGAATAAAATAATTTGCGATGAAATACTGTGTTGTGTCATTGCTGGTCAGTTGGGGTCTGCTATTTTTAGAATGATGTCAATGCAATTGACGTCATTCCAAAAATAACCGCCCCAACTGACCAGCTATACTACTGTTGTATATATCTAACAGAAATATTTACTCGAAAAAGAAGGCCCCCGCCCGCCCGAAGATTTTCATTGAAATCTTCCTCTTCACTAAGACTACTCGATGCACGCAGAATTCTCGAGTACGACAAGATCGAGCAAGCGAAGAAAGGGGAGCAAGACAGAGGTTCAATGACGAGTTGTTGAATTTCTGCCGGGCAAAGTGAGTGCAGACGCGAAAACTGAAAGATTCTTCAGCGTTATTGGATTTGCGCTGGGCTATTTCTAAGAGACAGTTGACGTTAATCAAATTTAGTAATGCGTTTCCCAAAGTTTATCATAAATTTATAAGAGGAAGTTTGTTTTAGCTAATTTTCTCGCACTCGAACAAAGAGATAATCTCCTTGTCTTCAATTTAAAAGCTTTGCATTCTGAGGGATTACAACAGCTTATTTTGTGTGTATTTCTGGAATAATAATATGATAATAAGAAGAAATAAACAGATTAGTCAGGGGCACCCAATGACGGTTTCCTCCTAAACGCATTGAAAAGTCTTTTTAAGCTATCCACAGTACTTTTAGATCTCTAGAAATGCATTCTAAGCGGCGCTATAAAATTTGTATCTGGCCGGTCATCCTGGGGGAACTTGAGGCTTTTCGAAATTACAAGGGTTTCAGTGATATTTTACTTTTTACGAAAGCGATGATTTTTCTTATTCCCCTCTCCATCACATTTTTGAATCCAAAAATTTTAGTTTTCCTACCAAAATTACCCAACACAAGGAGGAAAATATGAAAAATTAAACTTCATAAAATCTTAGGGAATTTTTTAGATAAGCTTCGAAAATTTTATCTGAATGGAACGCTCATCGAGAAATTTTTAGCCATATTCAAGCAATAGAAAATTCTTGGCAATCGTGCTTTTCCGAACAGATATTTTACAGAAAACAGTCGTTGGGTGCCCCTCATTATTTGTACTGTGAATTAGGAGAGATTTAAATCAAGGGCAAACTGAGCTACAGCATTCGCTCATGAGACCTAACATGTATTCTGTGCGGCAAATAAGTCGCCGAAACATTTAGATATCAACCTTTCGTAAAACAAAAAGAAACAGGAGTTTATTAAATCAAGTTAGTTACCCGTACGCGTTTCTTTATGAACAACCAAAGAAACCAACACTAGATTTATGAAGCCCAAGAGAATAAACTTTATTGGTATTGATAAAAATACGAACAAACCATAGCCGGACACGTAAACCCCGAAAAACCAATTTTGGAAAAAAAAGGGACCGGGTACCCCCAACAAGTGCTATGGTGCTGCCTTTGGGGTTTTAAGGCCTACTAGCTTAAATAAATAAGTTAAGTATAATAAATGAAATAAATAGTTAATAGAAGTAACCTCTTAGCTTTGCTAGGAGAAAAGAAAAGAAAAATCCGTTTGCCCGTTGAGCTGTTGAGTCGGCAAGGCTGAGACCAGAATAGCGCGACTTAATCATCTCACGACTGCCGCCGTTTCAAGGGTGCGCAAGCAATGATATCAAAGGCCTTTACTAGCGCATTACCCTGAATCTCTGTTTTTCTGCCTGCAGAACTAAATTAAATTATGTTTTTTGAACCAAACGTAAAGGTTTGAAAGCTATGATTCTGTGCCTTCACTCGGCACATAGCCACAATAACGTTATAAAATTTTATTTCTTCAGACAAATTCAGATCAGTCAAAACACTTCTTTGGAACCTCTAAAAATCTTCATGCATTATAAGGTTATTGCTGGTTATGTTACATGTTAAGCTATGAAATCAGCGAAGTCAGTGGCATTAATTAAGAAGAATTCAGAAGTTCCAAGTTACGCTGTTACGTTCGTGGTCGAATTGATAAATTATACATCTCTCTAAATCTTGCCAATTGTAAAATAGCCTTCTGACTTTACGTCATGGTTCTCACATTTTTTACATTATTGACCTTCTTCCATGTTCATCTAGTACGAAACTAATACTGATTAGAACAAAAAAATACAGATTTTTATTACCCCTTTTGCTCTAACGCCCTTTTAAGAATACCAAACCTAATTCTTAAATATCTATTTAAAATACTATGTTGCTTTCTATTTCGTAAAATCCTAAACAATGATTGTAGTGCTCAAAAAGTCTTTTTCTATGGTAACACCATGAGGTTTGCTCAACAAACTCTGAGGTAACAGCCACAATTTCTTAATTTTCATAATTGATTTGAAGAGTTAAGTTAGACAGAACGTTCGTTAAACCGTTACGAATCATCGACCGAGAATGATGTTAGTACTTCTTCCTCAGAACATAGCATAGGCCCAAGTTCAAACTCCCTGCTGTTTAGAACCGATGGCCGGTTTACAAAGTAAAAAATATGGGATAAAAACTTAATAGAAGAACAAATTGTCGAGTTTCAACCCAATAAAATAGGCTGAATCCGTTTTCTACAACGATCACTGTTTCCCGGCGAAACTGCAAGGTATGGCGGTGCGAAAAGCAGTCTGTTTAAACATGGGCCTTACTTAAATATTATAAACGGGCGACCTATCGTAGTTTAAAGTTCATCTTTGCTTGGTTTCTCCTTCACGTAGGGTGGTAGAGTCGTGCAAGTACATGCATAATCTTTCTCCAATATGATATATGGACTCTGGAATTGCACTCTTTTCCTCATGGGTGCTGTTGGGACGAAACAGTTTGGAATCACCTTTTTTCAATTTTTAAATAAGAATCTCCCAGATTTATGTTACTATAGTTGCAGAGTATTTTCGTGGTGTATTTTTGTGTTGCCTTAATTTTCTCATAGGGGCAGGTGCGTGCCTTTAATGTCTCTTCCCACTTCTATTTTGTTTGGTATACCGCAATCGAATTAAGCAAAACTAATCCATTTTAATCTATGGAGTTTGAAACGCACGGTATCTTACTCCAGAATGCGTTTTCTGTTCTTCCTTTGCAGTTCTCAAACTCATTAATAATTCATAAAGCAAATACAAAGGAAATTAATGTTTAATTAGTGTTTGGAAATCAGATGAAAAACTGCTCATTTTTGCATCCTTAATTTCTCCTTCTAAAATCATTTTGTTTGAGAGTAATATCAAGCATTCGACACAAACACCTTGAAGTTCGTCAAAAATACTCCTCTGCGCGTCGTATTTCAAGTCTCTTCTAGGTGTATCATCTGGTGATGAAACACTGCGTCTCATGCTGGATATATTCCTTAACAAATTTAATAAGTAAAGCAGGAAAGCTTGCGACTTAGGCGAGTCAAATCTTTTCGTTTTCAAAGCTTGTTTTCCCTTCTCGTCTCAGTTATAAGTCTTTACCTTACCCTTATGGAGCTGACTCGTTCTCAGCCTTCTCTTTTGACTCTTTTGGTCAGGGAAGGGTCACGTGAGACTATTAAAGCATCTGTGCGAGGGGCACTTTGTACGCAAGTCCCTTGTTGGTATTAAAGAGAGAGAAGAGAGGCAGCTGGAGATCGAGTCAACTATTGAAGAACGAAAAAGGTAAGTGTTTGGTGCTCACCAGGTGAAGACGCCATGGCTATTCCAGGGCTGCGGGGTTTCTTGATCTGAGTACAAGAACATAAGCATCATCATCATCATCATCATCATCATCATCATCATCATCATCACCATCATCATCATCGTCAGCATCATCGTCATCGTTAGCGTCATCAACAAAATCGTCAGCATCCGTCGCTGTAATCATCATCATCATCATCATCGTCATCGTCATCATCGTTATCACCATCATCATCGTCATCGTCAGCGTCATCGTCATTATTAGCGTCATCAAGATCATCGTCAGCATCTTCAGCAATCTTTGTCATCATCTTCATCTTCAGCATCGTGTGCGTCAGTCTTTCTCAGTGTATCAGCATCATCAAAATATTCATCATTGTCAGCGTAAGTCACCGTCATCATCATCATCGTTGTCCTCGTCATCATCATCGTCAAGGTTACTGACGGGCCTCAGTCGTCAAGCCCTCTTCAGATCGCGATGCCACATTAGGTTGCTTAGCTTGTCGACGTTCACTGCCTCTAAATCCCTCAAGACAAAGTGAAGACCACACGTTTAACTGATCTTATTATCAAAGGTTACTAGACCCCCCCGCCCCCCAAAACCATCCCAACCAATCCTTCGTCGGGTCCTTGCATTTAATAAGCTATGATAACAAAATAGCAAAGACAAAAGGCTATACTGCATTTCCGGATATTTCCGATGGTCAGGTCGTGCTGATGTAGTATAAAAGCGGCTCAGTTGAAAATTCGGTACAATTGTTAAAAACTTAAAAATAATACAGGCCAATAAGGATAAATCTTGAAAATAATGACTTGCGTGCAAAAGAGCCAAAAGAACAAAGAGAAAAAAAGGTCAAAAGAGTAAATAAATTCAAAGAATGTAACAAAAATAAACTTACTTTTTAAAATAATACTTAATAAATAGAGTTAATAAAATAAATTTCAAATAATAATAATGATCGCATATAATGATTGTAATAGGAAAGGGAAAGCTTTAATACTTCTAGCTGGATTTTTGAAACGTGACTGCTTTAGTTACGTTTTCAAAAATCAGTCTAGTTTTTACGTTGCAGCTGCTTGTTAAATCCTTTTCTATTATTATTATCATTATCGTGATCATTATTAATATCCCTATTATTAATTATTCATTTGAATTTATATTCAGTTTCATTATAATTATAGGATAGTTTAGTATTTATTATTTATCACTATATATCTATGTATTTTTTTCTTTTATTCATTTTTCACTGTAAATTCATTTTTGCTCCATTTTCCTACACTTATTTCCTCTTTTGACCTTCTTCTTTTCTTTAATTTCGTGATTCCAATTAGTTCAGCCGCATTTTATTATTTCAAATATTATCCCTGCTGGCCTTAAAATCCTCCGAGAAGCACACACCTAGATTATCTGAAGTATCGGGAGAACCCAAGTCGCGTTTGTCTTTGCCGTTGTGTCAATTACAACTCTATGGATTTAGCTGAAATAGCTGGATTTTGGTGTCGTCTAAATTACTTAAGTTTCAATGGACGTTTTCACCTATTCACGAATGACATGGCCGCATCAACATCATCGTCGTTGTTTGACATCATCGTTACCATTATCATCGTCGTTCTCATCATCGTCAGTGTCATTAGTAAGATAATCATTATAATCAATGCAATAGCTGTCAGTTATTTATTTTGCCCTCCACTCAATACTGTGTCTTGTCAGACGCACAGTCATGAGTAAACTGAAGAAAGGTTGCACTTGCCTCTGTCGAGTTAAACAGGCTCCTCCCACACAATTTTCGAGTCACTGACTGTAGGCCTCACGAGGCGTGACATCTCAAATCTTCTGCATCTGTATATAAAATAGACCTCAAGAACAAGATATTTAGCTTATTTAGCAACTAAGAGCCTATTACGTATTTCGCTCTTCTTTGTTAAGTAGGCCTGGGTTTGAATCCCACTAACACCTTGTATTTGCTTGACGTGACGTAACAGTTAAGCAAAGTTCATGGGTCATGAGAAATCCATTGAAGGAGAAGACTGAGTGTTTTAATATAGGGACCTTCAAATGAAAGTTACGATTTGTCTCCAGGCAATTCAATTAACAGCAATATGTAGCTAGCATAGCCTCTTCCTGTTGTCTATTTTACAATGTGCAATTTAAGTAACTCACTGTAAGTTCACAACTTGAGCAAATGCGCATGGTGAGTTCTTTTGTCATCAGTTTTCTTTCCTGGTATTTTCTTTTTGACAAGGTTGGGTTGAACGTGTTGGTATTTTTCTTCTGTACTTACCTATGATTTGCAAGGTGGTTCATTCAAATCGCTTTCTATGTAATACGGTAGTTTAAGAGACGAGACTTCCGGGTTGCTTTTCCGCTCCTTGACTTCTATCAGCAATTTTCTGACCTAAGTGCAAAGTTTCTCAAAAACATGGATTAAGAATGCAAGCAAACGTTTTCCTGTGTTTTTAAAAAATTTAATTCTGTCACTAAATCAACTTTTAATCCTTGGATGCTCCTCCTTTGAGTTTTGGTCTATCTATGCGGTAGCCAAACCGCTGTTTCAGATATGACCACTTGGATTTGTATTCCAGTTAAACGTGACATTTAATTATCTTTGTAGAGCTTCGAACACGATGGCTATTAGAGTGAAAGTCAGTGCTTGAAATCATAATCAAAGGTGTTATTTCATTTCCTTTCAGAATACTTGCGTAAAGACATATTACCTTTCCAGTACTAGTACTTACCTCGGATCTGGTAGCTAGGGTCACGTGTTTAAATCTCAATGCTAACGGGCCAGCTACCACTGAGTGCTGGAAACAACCTCTGGAATTGCACAGACCTGAATAAAAAGCTTCTTAAAACAGATTATCAAAGCAGCAGTTTTAACATGGCAGTTGAAAATGAACTTTAAACTATGAAGCTTCTTTCAGACACTCTGGCAAATGAATGTCATTAATATCAGTTTCATATCGATTTGCTTACTGATGAAGCAATGTTCATGGGTTGGAATCCCACTGGAAAATAGTATTTACCTATAAAGTTACGACTTTTGATGCAGAAGGAGCACAATTGACTTCCAAACTCTTTTCTGAAACGACCCTGTTTGGATAAACTTGCTTACTGCCTCTTGAAGACGAAGGTTTTCCAATATTCTGGTACTTACAGGTTGCACATCACTGCTGATGGGTCATATCACGGCTGGGCGTATTCGACCTAAATAAAATAATTCTTAAAAACAGAATCAATAACATCAAAACAAAGCCTTTTTTGCGCACTTGGAAACCAATCGCAGACTCCATTTCCTTTAAAAGGCCTTGGAATTGTCTGCTGGACCGCCTGTCAGCTATCATCAAACAGATTCGAATTCTGTCCGCATCGTGTGGGATCTCAAGTCTTGAGAATTGCATTCTTTGGTACACTAGAAGCACCAGTAAATAAACAAATGTCGTAGGTTTGAATCCCACTAAGGCGTGAACGAATAAATTTTAGTATTCTCCGAGGATAAGTGCATGTCAGCAAAATCAGATTTAACGTACTCACGTTCCGTTTCTTCCTTGCTTCTTAGATGCTGCTGTCGAACGCTAACATCATGCACTAAATCTGAAACCCAAGGAGATAATCTAACAGAGCATAAACAGATATCTGCCTTACCTTAAGAACTTTGAGTTGTTTTCCAGTAGTAATCAGCGTCGATATGCGTTTCTTCAGGAACGCAGCCAGAAAAAATTTCCAAATGAACTTCTAAAGAGCATACGTCACATGCATTCAGTTTGCTGTGGTCGGTCTTCAGAGGGCGCGCCCAAAAAGACGTCTTCGAGGAGGCGATGTTCGAGCAAAAAAAAGACGTAAAAGACGACTTCCGATGTTCCTGAAATAAAACTTTTTAAATTATTTATTATTGGTTTAAAGAAAAAATACAATGGCGAAGCGGCATTGAGTTGGTCACACTTTATTTTTTTCCTGAGTATCAACTCCGTTACAACATAATCTAACTTATCTAAATTTTTTAGTGCTAGTTTAACTGACAAAAAAAAAAAAAAAAAAAAAGAAAGCTGATGATCTACCTTTTGTTTGTTAAACTTTATTTTTCATCAACTTTTAATTACGTACAATTCAATCACATTAAACTTGATGTTAAAGTTCCTGTTCTTCCTTCAGCACCTCACGTACGACTTCCAAATAGGCAGTGCCATGCGTTTCTTCAAGAACGCCTCCAAAACGCAGTAAAAAGGTCGAAAAACTGAAAGCCATGTGCGATCTCGAGAGGGCGCGCCCAAAAAATGTGCGTCCATTCACTCTTGAAAAAAGTGGCGGAGAAGTCCAAAAAACAGGTAAACTTGTTGATTTCCGACGCACCTGAAATTAAATGAGTTAGTTGTTTGTGTTTTCATAGCGATCACACTGATGCAACACTCTGATTGTCACTCAATGTGCGTAGTTAAAAGACATCACACTCACAACTCAGTGTTTTATTTTTGTTTTATTTATTCGCCGTTTTTACAACAAGTATTTTGTAATATCCCTGCAAATTAAATGATCATTAGTACTTATAATTAATTACTCTAAAGATTTAGCTTTAAAATAAAAGAAAAAACCACACAGACGACACATTAGAATGAGTGTTTTTATTAAATTGAGTTGGCTGTTTACAGAAAGTAATGTCTATATAGATGGGGTGCGCTTCCTAGAATTTGACGTCCGAGCAAGACCGAGGAGTGTGACATGCGTCCATAAAACCTTGACACCTCGAATGAAACACACCAGGGTCCCCCGGACGGTACGCAGGGATATTTGGCGGCTTGCTATGGAAACTTTGTCCATACCAAGCCTTCATATTTTTGAAGCCGAATCCGGAGTCAGATCAAAAATCGAATCGAAAGCCGAAAAAAGACGAACGACCGAACCGAAAATTTAATCGCCTAAAAAAATAAAATAATCCACATACCTTGTGCCTCATTGGATTATTGCTTGGGCTGATTGATGTGGTGCAATGTTTACATAAGCGTTACGAAGAAATTCAATGAACCGATTTTGCTATTTCAGACCGAACGAGTCAGCTTTGCGTAAACTTTGTACCAGCATAAATCAGCCCTACCTTATATGGGCTGCTGTACTCTGTCGTCATGTTCCTCCACCAAAAGACCAAGGAGACTGGAATCCACAATCCAAAAAAAGCGTAGATATCGGGAAAAAAAAAAGAAGTTATAGAAATCCATGTTGAAGTGAAGTTGTCCAAAGGTGAAGTTCGGCCGGCCAATTAAATTTTAATTATAACATACTGGTGGCTGTCTCAACTAACATTGGACTATGCGACAGGGATTAAACTAATTTTAGATTTACGGTGACTAAGAATTTTTATGAAAAATTGAAAAGGGTGGAAGGGGGTGGAAAACAGCCCTTAAGGAGATTAACGTTAGTTGAGACAGCTCATTAAAGTCATTGCTATATGCTGTCTCCTCTGGCTTTACCTTGCCTTCCTAATGATGAAGTCGTTTTCACTATGATGTCATCGGCTTCTGTTTGTAAAGTAGCTAATTTACATTCCAGCGTGATTTTCTTCAGTTCAATTATGACCCCAAATCAACGACAAATAAAATAAATTTAGTGAAAGCACAATGACGTCTTAGTACAAACGATCATCATCATCATAGTCGTAGTTGTCATCATCATCCTCATCACCATCATCATTGTCTGGTTTGGTCCTATATGTTTCTTCTTCTCAATTCATCGACGCAAAGGCAGCTACCTCGCCTACTTAATTAACTGGACTATCTTTCTGTACATCTGGAGGTTCTTTGTTCTTCTTTCTTCGGCCGGCTTCTTCTTTTGATGTAGCAATGGACCCACAATTCAATCAAATACAATACGATCAAAAGCATTTTATTCAAATTTCTAAAAGCAAATACTTCTTGTTACAAGATTCAAGGAAAAAAAAAGTAAATAGACAGCGTGCTGCGTTAGGATTCCCTCCCAGCCATGAAGTACTTCAAGAACTGTCGGAAGTAGAACACTGCAGACCACTCTCGGATCAGGACAAAGAAACCAAAAGCCACGAACGGTCGACGTGAAGACTACGTACGCCTACCATTTGTAGACGATCTGCGCCTGCGTTGTGCAATGCAGGGCTTCCTAAGAAGAAAACTCTCCAACAAGGCAAAATTAACAAGAAGACAAATTAAATCGTCTTAATGTCAACGATGCCACGCCAGAGTATCCTCTCCTGCTACTTACTGAAAGACTATCTATAACCTGCGAGGTTTTCACCTGAATGCCATTCAGGGACACGCATATCAAGGTATGGTGGGCCTCCACATGTGTGTCCCCGAAAGATTCGGCCAAGTAGCATTCTCGTAATTACTTCGCAGGCTACTAACGTTGCCTAAAGGCCGATCGGCTTGTTCGTGCTCCTCCATCGATGAAACTGCGTCGTAGATTGGTCTCGAAGACTTCCTACGCTTACGATTTGTAAACGATCTAGCCTGTGGTGTGTGGATTGTCCCATGTTGCCCTGGCAACCTCCAACAAGGTGTTGGCTCTTCGCGGGAAGAAACGCCTTGTCGTAAATTACCTTTTTTGTAAGACTAAAACCTGTCAACTGATCTACCCTCACAAGTTCGAAGACTGAAAA